AGTACTTGTTTGATGATCAGATACAAATGTCAATCATTTTAATGTTAAAAAACCATATTCCTGACATGGTTATATTCCAGCTATATTACTATAAACAAAACTATATTTCTTAAATTTAATAACTAACGGGGACTGTGTCATGCATGGCTTGTTGATGTTGTTATTGAATGAACTTCATTTCACCAAATGCAGTTACATGATAGTGTCATTGAAACATGTACTATCTACCTTTCAGTATATTTAATATTGTCTAGATTGGTCAGTCTCTGTGATTTGTACATTTTGATTATATGTTTAAATCCAATGGGTCCAACAATAAGGTTACTGTTATGGATTTCTTTAATCACACACCTACAGATGGATTATATATATGCCATTTACCAGACGGCCCTACTGTACATTTTAAAATGAGTTCTGTCAGACTATCCAAAGACATCAGAGTAAGTTTAAATCTCTCTCAATCTTGCCTTTCTGCATGCTGCTGTACTTCTGGTGACCACAGCATTTAGGTGAAATAAAATAAATATGCTTATATTGTGGGGTAAAATCCTAAAATTATTTCATGGATTATTTTTTTATTGTATGCAAATTGTTCATGGTCATTTTACCAATGTTTCATCTGTGTTCTGTAGTAAATGCCTAGCACTTATCTATAAAGTAAACATGTCGTAAAAAAAATCTCAAATACTGCCATTGTAAGACAAAATGGTGAATAATATTATAAATGTAATGATTTCATTGTTTTATCCACTCCACACAGCACTGTAGTAGCGGCACAGAACACCAACCAGAAGTGATACTGAATAACTTCAACACAAGGCTCGGTCACAGTGTTGGTCGGCTATTAGCCTCTCTATTCCCGCATGATCCAGAATTCCAAGGAAGACAGGCAGTCACATTTCACAATCAGAGGGACTATATATTCTTCAGGAGACACAGGTAGGGTCTTTAATCAGATGGATGTATCAATTTGTTTTTCATTTGCTTTTGTGTAAAATTAATATTGTTATTTTAAGGATGCAATATGGAATTTTCAATATTGTTTTTTTTTTTTTTTTTTTACTGTACATTGATGTTTACATTGAACTATGATTTATCATACACTAAAAACAGTATGTTTTCAGCACAAATCCGAGTATTCAGTAGATGAAACAAATTCTCAAATAAACATGTTCACTGGTTGTTTTGGTACATACAGTAACAATCACTGCATATGTGTATTTTTGGTTCTGATTTTTTTATCTAACAAATACTGTGAATAAATGAATGAATGTTACTTTGTCAGGAATAAAAAAATGTATGGAATTAGTAAATGAAATGATAAATAATTAAGTATATTAGCTTAGAAAGCAATTGAATTTGAAGGGCGTAGGATAAAAGAAGTTATATGAACTTGGACGTTAGTTTTGAAGGAGGTATGTTTTCAAATTTTCCTTCAAAGAATGTCTATTTGTAAGAATGTTAATGAAATTAGGAAGAGTAATCAAATGCTTAGTGGCAGCATATTTGAAATTATGCTTACACGTTTCTAATATCGGAAAAGTACTATGCTTGATCTGTTCACCTGTTCACATATAAACCTTATGGTTCTAATTCTAATTTTCACAAAATTAATTTCTATTTCTTTTCAAACTTGGCTATACTTTTATTCAGTGCGAAGTCTCATTTGAGTTAATTTCTGGTATACTCTGCATGTATATTTTGTTAGATGTGGGTATGTGTGCTTAACATAGAAATAAGTGCATGAGCAACATGTATAGAAGTAAGGAAATAATGATGAACAGTCACTTTACTAGCTCTGTCTGATGACAACAGAATGGAACCAAATGTACATCATACTTGCTAGGCTTTTTTCGCTGAAACAAAAATTAAAAAAATTTGTTTGTTTGTTTCCAGATACATCTTTAGAAATACTAAGAGAGTTGGTCTGCAAGAGTTAGGACCAAGATTTACTTTGAAACTCAGATCTTTACAGAAGGGTACCTTTGATTCGAAGTTTGGAGAATATGAATGGGTTCATAAGGTAAGTCAATTTTTCAATAACTACAAGCCACATTAACATTAATCCAATACATTCACAAATCTTACAACAGTGCCAATTCAACATAAACCTGCTAATCTAGTCTTTATCTGTTTGTTTTCATTCAGGTTCAGTTAGTGAGCAATGCTAAAAAAAGTACATTGAAATTATATGAACACACAAGAGCTTTGATCGTGTTTGTAACTATTCTCATCTTGTACAGATACAGATCTATCAATAATGCTTCATTTGTTCTATTTTTCAGCGTCATGAAATGGACACCAGTCGCCGGAAGTTCCATCTTTGAACAGTCAGTTTTTCTACAATCGCGGGACTCCTAAACTGATAGATTATGTTTTGATTCTGTCACAGGTGTATAAAAATGTCAAGGAAATGTGAATTCCAAAATGTATATATGCAGGTTTTACCAAAGATTTATGAGATATGGGTATTCAGTTTTCATAACCATGAAAGGTGTTATGCAAAGATGATCTCATAAAAAGCAACGCTTTCATTTTGTGAACGCCAATTGAACATAGTTCTAAGTAATAGCATCACAGAACACAGTTGGTATTTATAAATGTTTGATTGCTTAAATGGAAATGAGTGAAATTATTGCTCTTTATTCAAAATTGTGAAGCGCGCATATTACAACACACTTGCATTAGGATATTGTAGGAATGTTTGTCTTGCAACTTGGTGATCAATTTGTGTAATCTTCATTTCATGTCACACACTTTGCATATCTGGATTTTAATAAATCCTTGGGTTTACATACATTATACTGGAAATCTTTTCACCTAAGAACATCGCTATCCAGAAACTGTAATGGAATTTTGCATGGCTAGTAAAGGGTTTTGATTTTATTCCTGTACAGTTCCAATGTAGCTAATATAGATGAACTCTTTGTTTGTGATAATAAATGTACATATTAAAAGAGGAAATACGGGCATAATGTATTGCTATGTTTATTCATTGTGTAGTGCGTCTGTTATAAATGTTAATACAAAGTGGCTAAATGGTGACGAATATCATTTCTGCTATTTAGGAACCATTTTTGGGCTCTGCATGTCATTTTTACATGGATAATATGAATTTCTTTGATTAATTAAATAACTATGGATGGTCAGCATGGTGAGGATTCTTGACGCGAGTCATGGCGTTAACATCCCAAGTCTCTCCTTCAAGAGGCAGCGGCATTGAGGAGATGCACAGACCAATGCTGTTTATGAAATGCTAAAATTTCCCAGTGGGCAATTTTTTTCAACAATGAGAGTAATGATTAGGTTCAATGCTGAACACATCTTGGATCTGGGTGTCATTGAAATACATGATTTTACAGCACAAATCCTAGCACATGTTCAACTGGATGCATTCAAGATGGTTACACTAAAGTTCATCTGTCATTTATCAAACCAAATTATGAAGATTGCTTCCTTGTGCATCTCAATGGATCCGGTATGGCGATTCAATAATTCGACAGCACTTTGTACGCAAAAGTGTGCTCTGCGTTCATAGTTCAACCACATCCTAGGGGCATATTAGTTTACACTTGCATTGATGACTGGCTCCCCCACCATCAATTACTAGAGGTGCTGCCATACACTTGCATTCCTAATCAATATCTAGAAGTCTTAATTCACTACGTTCAATTATCCACCATAGACTCCGGTCAGTCAAAATGACTATTTTGAACTGTAGGCATTAATCAGCGATTCTGCCAGTGACGGAGAGCAAGAATCCAGGTCAGGGGAAGCCCCATGACCTCAAGATTCTTTTACTCCTTACGTCACGAATCCACGTGACCGAGGCCATGTGGCATCACTCTTAATTTTCCTCCGCCTCGAGTGGAGATGAAATCTAGCGAGCTCTGCTGGATCGCCTGCTTTTTTTTTTTCCTGTCCGGATTTATAGCTTGGGTTGTTGCCGCTGCTCGGCATCCGACATGGTAGCTGGTAGGATAAGTTTTCCTTGTCATTTTTACCCCCGTGTCGTTTTCCCCTTTGTGTGTAGTATTTTTCACAGCAAAGAAATCAAAATCCGGCGCCACTACGTAGTCACATGTTGATTT